GAAATTTTACTCTTCAAAATAGGATTAAATTAAAAGAAATATAGAATAAAAGAAGGATTAAAAAGCACTCATAAAAGCCTTTTCTTTTGAATATTTAGGTTTATTAAGATAACAAATATTGAATTTTCAGCTTTCTAGTTCTCTAAACTCTTAAAATACTACTAATATCGGTTCCAATATTAATGATCTAAAGAGAAATAACCTAAAATTGAATTGCTTTAGTACAATATTTGGACTATTAATAAAAATAAATGAAAAGTTGAGTATATATATATAGATTTATAACTGTTTTTCTTAAATAATTAAATTTTTAAATTTTAGATTCAGAGTGCTTATTTTATCTTCTAAGAAGCATTTACTTGTTCTGAAAATTTTTAATACCATTTTTATGCGTTTTAACATTTTTTTTCATCTTCTCATAATTTTTTCTTTCAATAATTTTTCATTGACTTAGCTAGTGGCCGGATCCTTTTTTCTCGATAAAAAATTCTATTTGGATTGCTAACAAAATTTAAAAAAATTAACAAATACTTAATTATATAGAGAAAATATTTGTATTTTCTTAATAAAATATTGTGGATTATATAATTTTTTTGTTTGAATTTTTTTTTTCATTAAATACTCCATTTGTTCAATAATTTTTTTTTATTTATTAGAATGAATAGCATCACCTTTAATTATGTTAATTACTTAATTAAACTTTATTGTTCTTCTCATTACTATAGGCAATATGGCTCGAAGAACCATTACCTGAATTGAAGAATATAGTGGATAGTATTCTAAAAAAAATACGAAATGTTCTATCATATCATTACGTAATTAAATGTTGTTAAACGTGACATTAAGAAATTAGTAAAGTAAGACTATGAAAATTTATTCGAAAAGAAATCATTCAAATGTTTTGGTATTAAAATATAGAATTTCTTGGTAAAGATTTAAAAGTTAGAGATAAAAAAAGATTTATTAGGAAAAATTAAGCAAAAAATAAAGAAATTATATGTTTCCAGAAGATAGAATAAAAACACTGAAAGGCTAGATACTCTAAGCCAAAGTGAATATGGATATAAGTAGTGTTGCAAAAAATTGAAAAGATAAAAATTAGAATTACATAATGAAAAGATACTGACATGTTAATGGAAAATCAAAAATTGTGTTGATTGGTTTTATAGTAGAAAAATGATATACATAAATGAAAACCATGTAAGATTTAAATTTTAATTAAAGGAAGCAACTTTGTGTTCACCATTACGAAAAAAAGCAATCTTTTAAATTAATTTAGAACTTATTATTTTGAAATTAATAAAGATATAAAATCAAAAAAAAGAAGGATTAATAGTTGAGAACCCATTTTTCCAGAAATTATATAAGAAAAAAATAATACAAAAGATAGTTATATTTATTTTAAATAAGATTAGATATAAATATTATATTAAGAACAAAATTCTTTGATAAAAATGATTTAATTAAGTGCTAATGGCTTAAACAAAAAAATAAGTGTTGCGAATATAAAAAAAACTTAATTACCTACGGCTCACATTTTTAACATTCGTCAATTAATAAGACTCAATAATTATTAAAGGCTCATTCAAGAATAAAATGCTCAGTGGATTATTTCAACTAAAAGATTTATTCTAATTCAAGGCAAAAATAAAATATTAAAAGTCATCCACAACAAGTTTTAAAACATGAAAAGACTAAATAAAAAAAATAATGTATGTTGAATAATTATAAAAAATAAATGAGGAAATTAAGTTAAGAAATTAAAGTTGGAATGAAGGATTAAGAAATGTTAAATTACTTAGATGTCCAATAATATTAATTAAAGAGAGGTATATTTCTTAATTTAAATGTTCAGGATTAACATTATTTNCAATAATTTTTCATTGACTTAGCTAGTGGCCGGATCCTTTTTTCTCGATAAAAAATTCTATTTGGATTGCTAACAAAATTTAAAAAAATTAACAAATACTTAATTATATAGAGAAAATATTTGTATTTTCTTAATAAAATATTGTGGATTATATAATTTTTTTGTTTGAATTTTTTTTTTCATTAAATACTCCATTTGTTCAATAATTTTTTTTTATTTATTAGAATGAATAGCATCACCTTTAATTATGTTAATTACTTAATTAAACTTTATTGTTCTTCTCATTACTATAGGCAATATGGCTCGAAGAACCATTACCTGAATTGAAGAATATAGTGGATAGTATTCTAAAAAAAATACGAAATGTTCTATCATATCATTACGTAATTAAATGTTGTTAAACGTGACATTAAGAAATTAGTAAAGTAAGACTATGAAAATTTATTCGAAAAGAAATCATTCAAATGTTTTGGTATTAAAATATAGAATTTCTTGGTAAAGATTTAAAAGTTAGAGATAAAAAAAGATTTATTAGGAAAAATTAAGCAAAAAATAAAGAAATTATATGTTTCCAGAAGATAGAATAAAAACACTGAAAGGCTAGATACTCTAAGCCAAAGTGAATATGGATATAAGTAGTGTTGCAAAAAATTGAAAAGATAAAAATTAGAATTACATAATGAAAAGATACTGACATGTTAATGGAAAATCAAAAATTGTGTTGATTGGTTTTATAGTAGAAAAATGATATACATAAATGAAAACCATGTAAGATTTAAATTTTAATTAAAGGAAGCAACTTTGTGTTCACCATTACGAAAAAAAGCAATCTTTTAAATTAATTTAGAACTTATTATTTTGAAATTAATAAAGATATAAAATCAAAAAAAAGAAGGATTAATAGTTGAGAACCCATTTTTCCAGAAATTATATAAGAAAAAAATAATACAAAAGATAGTTATATTTATTTTAAATAAGATTAGATATAAATATTATATTAAGAACAAAATTCTTTGATAAAAATGATTTAATTAAGTGCTAATGGCTTAAACAAAAAAATAAGTGTTGCGAATATAAAAAAAACTTAATTACCTACGGCTCACATTTTTAACATTCGTCAATTAATAAGACTCAATAATTATTAAAGGCTCATTCAAGAATAAAATGCTCAGTGGATTATTTCAACTAAAAGATTTATTCTAATTCAAGGCAAAAATAAAATATTAAAAGTCATCCACAACAAGTTTTAAAACATGAAAAGACTAAATAAAAAAAATAATGTATGTTGAATAATTATAAAAAATAAATGAGGAAATTAAGTTAAGAAATTAAAGTTGGAATGAAGGATTAAGAAATGTTAAATTACTTAGATGTCCAATAATATTAATTAAAGAGAGGTATATTTCTTAATTTAAATGTTCAGGATTAACATTANCTAACAAAATTTAAAAAAATTAACAAATACTTAATTATATAGAGAAAATATTTGTATTTTCTTAATAAAATATTGTGGATTATATAATTTTTTTGTTTGAATTTTTTTTTTCATTAAATACTCCATTTGTTCAATAATTTTTTTTTATTTATTAGAATGAATAGCATCACCTTTAATTATGTTAATTACTTAATTAAACTTTATTGTTCTTCTCATTACTATAGGCAATATGGCTCGAAGAACCATTACCTGAATTGAAGAATATAGTGGATAGTATTCTAAAAAAAATACGAAATGTTCTATCATATCATTACGTAATTAAATGTTGTTAAACGTGACATTAAGAAATTAGTAAAGTAAGACTATGAAAATTTATTCGAAAAGAAATCATTCAAATGTTTTGGTATTAAAATATAGAATTTCTTGGTAAAGATTTAAAAGTTAGAGATAAAAAAAGATTTATTAGGAAAAATTAAGCAAAAAATAAAGAAATTATATGTTTCCAGAAGATAGAATAAAAACACTGAAAGGCTAGATACTCTAAGCCAAAGTGAATATGGATATAAGTAGTGTTGCAAAAAATTGAAAAGATAAAAATTAGAATTACATAATGAAAAGATACTGACATGTTAATGGAAAATCAAAAATTGTGTTGATTGGTTTTATAGTAGAAAAATGATATACATAAATGAAAACCATGTAAGATTTAAATTTTAATTAAAGGAAGCAACTTTGTGTTCACCATTACGAAAAAAAGCAATCTTTTAAATTAATTTAGAACTTATTATTTTGAAATTAATAAAGATATAAAATCAAAAAAAAGAAGGATTAATAGTTGAGAACCCATTTTTCCAGAAATTATATAAGAAAAAAATAATACAAAAGATAGTTATATTTATTTTAAATAAGATTAGATATAAATATTATATTAAGAACAAAATTCTTTGATAAAAATGATTTAATTAAGTGCTAATGGCTTAAACAAAAAAATAAGTGTTGCGAATATAAAAAAAACTTAATTACCTACGGCTCACATTTTTAACATTCGTCAATTAATAAGACTCAATAATTATTAAAGGCTCATTCAAGAATAAAATGCTCAGTGGATTATTTCAACTAAAAGATTTATTCTAATTCAAGGCAAAAATAAAATATTAAAAGTCATCCACAACAAGTTTTAAAACATGAAAAGACTAAATAAAAAAAATAATGTATGTTGAATAATTATAAAAAATAAATGAGGAAATTAAGTTAAGAAATTAAAGTTGGAATGAAGGATTAAGAAATGTTAAATTACTTAGATGTCCAATAATATTAATTAAAGAGAGGTATATTTCTTAATTTAAATGTTCAGGATTAACATTATTTAATAGAAAGATTTTTGAAAAAGTATTGGTATATTACGATTCAGCTATTCAGATAAACCCTGAAAATGCTGAATATTATAATGGCAAAAGTAAAATAGAAATTGAATGCTTATCAAGCATAACTTTATAAATATAACAGAAAAAATATTTTATTATACATTAAAGAGTAAAGTCATATTTTCAATAGTATTTTTGTAAAATTATTTTCTGCTTAAAATCCATTCGATAGATTAATTTTGGAACTTGTGAGGATTGGTTACAATATTGATTAGATTCTCTTGAAGTTAATTCTTGCATTTACAAAAAGAATCTTATCTTTTTTTACCTATATTTTTATTGCAATATCTTCAAGAAATAAGACAATACATATAACGAAAATCAGAATTAAAACAAGGGTACTTCAAAATAGATAAATTTCATACTATATGCTGATAGCTGCTTTAATAATTGAATTTTTTCCTTTACTTAAATTATTTCAAATTCTTCACTTGATATTAACTAAAATTTAATATAATCAACTATATCAACCTCCAAAACAGTTGCTAAGTATTGAAGGATCTCTCCATTTTTTTTATATTGATTTAATTTTTTAGGTTAATCACTCATTTTTAATTGTGGAGATATCAGAGTTGAAGTTTAAAGAAAATTACTCTTTCTGCATGAAATTCCTTTGCTATGCCATTTAAGTTTAATATTATATTAATTTTCTTTTTATGTATGGTAATTAATATTAATTATTACACAATCTAATTTATCAAATCTTTAATTTATAACCTCTTGATAATTTTTATCATTTTTAATTAAATTCTATAATGATAACTAATTGCTTAAGTTAGTATTATAACAATTACTCTAATCAGAGTGAGAAAAAGTTGTATTCTGAAGGGTTCATCGGATCCTAAATAATGTTTGAAAAGTTCTATATTACAATGTTTGAAAATTTTCATTCTTAATTTGGTATCGACAATCCAATGAAATTAAGAGGAGGAGGATGTGGATAATTAAAAGCTAAAAATCATAATCAACTTTTGCATTTAGATTCAGTTTAATTACCTGATAATTTTCTTATCTAACTCAATAATTACCTAAAGTTTATAGTAGATGAAGCTCCACTCCTTTTTGACGCAACTAAGAAAAATAAAGTTATCAAAAGAATATAATGGTTTATTTATAATAGGGAACACTTGAATTATTTATGTAATAATGAAAAAGTTATATTCAATTTTTATGAAATGGCAAAAGCAAATTTTGAAAACTTATTGACAGTCCTTGTTACATATTTAAGAAGTTCTTGGTTTGTTTGTTATTAAGTACTATAGATTTGTAATGATTTATTAAGAGTTATTTATACCTTCTTAGTGAGTGAATCGAAAAGATTCTTAAAGGAAGAAGAAAAATAAGATTATATCTCTAAATTATCTAAATTTGAAACTTAATTAGAAATCGAATAGGCAAATGTTTGGAAGACAGGACTGGAATTTGAAATTAAAATAATGAAAATTATGATTTTGAATTCTAAAACTGATTCAACCCAAGGAAAAGATGTTTTAATAAACTTTTTCAAAGAAGTAGGAAAATCAATTATCTCATTATCACCATCAGAGAATTTACTTTCAACAATAATTGAAGGGGGAAAATATATTCTAAACTAAGGATTTGAAAAAAAATCATATCCAATAGAAACTTATTAGATTTATTACTTATTTTAATTAATTAAATGGTCAATAATTAGATAATTAAAATCTCGAAATTCAGTTTACAAATAAATATAGTAATTAAAGGATCTTTTTTAATAATATATATTAGAATCTGATAATTGGATTTTACATTATAGTTGGATATAAATAATTCTGGAAGTTATTTCTTACCGACCTGTTGTTAATAAATCTAACATATCTTTAAATAAACCAGATTAATCATTAATTAAATGGAATCTACTAATTGAAAATAATTTGATTCATCGCTTATCATATAATAAAAATGAGGCTATAATACATTTATTTTAAGATTAAGAATAAAACAATGATATTGAATTAACTTCTCTTTTAGATAATTTTTATGACAAAAAAAAATTTGTATTATTTTCTTAGTTTCTGTTAAAAGGGGACCTAACTTAAAATCTTAATTAATGGGGATATTACAAAGATTTCACTTTTAAAAAATAAAAAGACAAAAAATATGAAGATTATGAAATCATTCTAGAAAGTTATGAATTAGATATATTATAAAAATTAATTAAAAATCTAAATTCACAGTAAGATGAAATACTTTCGATTCATTCAGAAATAATAGAATCATTTTAAACTTATTTCTAAGTACCTTCATACATTTCAATTAATATTATCTAAGATCATCAATAAGGATCTGAAAAGCGTTTTTAACAAACTTATAAATAGTTGATCATCCTATCAAATTATTTTAGACAATTATCAAAATTCATTGTTTTAAAATTGGAATTGCTTACACCTTACTTAGATTAATTTAAAAACAAAGAAAATCATAAATATTTAACTGAAATTAAATCAAAAATTGATAAATTTAAAAATTCAGAACTTACAGAATTTATAAATGAACTTCTAAAATTCTTTTTCATAGCAATTGAATTTTTAAGTTGTCTCAACGAAATGAACTTATTTTTAGATACTAAGAGTTTTACAGATTTAGAAAAAATAATTTCGATGTTTGAAATTGATAAATTTTAAAATATCTTCGTAACATTTGAAAAGCAATTTAATCAATTTACTTAAAATGTAATATCATATAAAGAAAATTTTCTAAAATTTATTCAACAGGAGTAAAGGATTCAATCTATGAGAATTCAAATAAAAGATTAGAATATTTTATCAATAGTTGAATTTAATTAGGATGGAGAATAGAGTATAATTAACAAATTATAAGAAATATTTATTAATAAACATAAGCTATTTGATTCAAAATTAATAGCTCTAGAAAATGTCTAATCAAATTTGATTGATTGTAAATTTATTATCATAAATTTATAATTATTAAAATAATTCACCAACATATAAAGTTAATATTTCATAACAATTCAGGAATTGCTGGAAAATAATCATAAAAACACTGACTAAAATACAGAAATTTAAAAGTTGGATTAATAATAAATTGTTATTGATATTTTAACTTAATAAATATAAAAAATATAATCCTTGATCGATGGAAATTTAAAGGAATCTGATTAATAAAGTATTGAAATTAATTTAAAAGGCTTATTAGCTTAAATGGAGTCAGATTTTAATTTAATAAAAAGTGAATTTCAAAAATTTAAAAATAACAACAATCATCCTTTATTACTGACATTATTAACAAATGCGTAATTCAGAATTCTATAAATATTAAATTAGAATGAAAATGTATAAATATTGCAAGAGATTTTAGAAGATTATTAAAATAATTTGAATGCAATAAAATAAAATACTTAAATATCAATTCAAGATTTTTAGAAAGGAGAAGGACAGAATGAGAAATCTTTTAGTTTATTTAACAAATAGTTAGATAACAATCATCTCCTAATTAGAAATATAAAGGAAGTTAAAAAATATTATAAATACTATGAAAAATTATTAATGTTTTAAATAGAACTTATACTTAGAAAAGACTAACAAAAAATAGACGAAGAATAATAGATAGGGTAGTAAAGTGATTAACAGAATTAGATTGAAAAATTAAAAGAAAAGAGAGAACAATATTTTAATAAAAAGGTAAAAGATTCAATTGAAAAGCTGATTAAAAGTTTTGATGCTTAAGGAAATACTGCTTCACCAGTCATAAATCTAAAATTTACAAATTATTTAAAGTTTTTTGTTTCACTCACTAATTTTGAAGAAAATAAAGGATTAAAAATTGATAAAACTTATTTTTCTATTTGGTAAAATATAAAAAATACTTACAAGAATGCTAAAGAATAATTTCTTGATTTAGTAGATCTTAAATATGATTATAAAGTAAGAGAAGGGTTGGTCTACAACCTCATCAGACTATAATAAGTAAATCAAGAATAAAAAATAAAAGCATTCTGTTAGAAACATCTATAATATTTTTGGGTATTTGAAAAAGATCAAAGAGTTAGAAATCTATTGAAAAATAAAGAATTAGTTGAAATTTAGAAATAGCTATTTACTTAAGATATAGATAATTTGGCAGACTCAATTAAAGATGAATTGAAGTCAAGAATGCAAAAATTAGATAATCTGCAATAAGAAATTAAGCTTGAAGGAAACTTTTAAAAAAGAGAGGAACTTTAAGTTTAACTAAAGAAAACCTATCAAGAACTCGATGAATCTTTAGATAATATCTCTGAAATGTCAGAAGCTATGGATATTAGTTTGTTATTTTTAAAAAGTATATCTATGGATGTAAAATAGATAAAAGCTTCAATTGATAATTTATAACATAGTTTAAATTAAGTAGGAGATGACATTCGTAAACTTAGAGGTAAAAGATATGATGAACTATTAGAAATAAGAAAATAAAAGGTATTATTATAATCCAAACTAACAGAAATCGACTCAGTATATATTTAACTAACAACAATTGAATATAATCCTATAACTGGTGAGATAATCAAATTTTAAGATAATGTAATAGAAACAAAATTGATGAGCGAATAATATAATGACTTTTAAGGAGAAGTCAATGAATTTATTTGGGATTAAAATAGCTAAAAAGATGTCATGTTACTTTCAGGAAGTGCAGGTTCTGGCAAAAGTAAAGCCGCTAGAAAGATAGAAGAATTGGTTTGGAAATAAAAAGGAATTTTATCTAAATGGATTCCTATCTACGTATCACTTCCAGCTCTGAAAAATCCTAAATTTAATATATTTGAATAGGCATTAGAATCTGAAAATTATTAATTTGATAAATATTAGATTAAGGAATTTAAAGAAGCTATATAAGGATAAAAAGAATTCATAATTTTAATACTTGACAGTTATGATGAGATGAAATAAGATTGTTTTTAATCAAATCTAATTTTGACAAATAAATTGATTTAAGAATTCAATACTCCTAACAAATAAATGAAAGTAATTATAACAACAAGAAAAGAAATACTGAATACTATTGGATATCAAACCTGGTTTTATGGAGAAAGCTTGTAAACGTTGAAGGAAGTTTAGTTACAAAATTTTAATAAAGAATAATAAAATGAATATCTAAATTAATACGTTGAGTTAAGTGTTAAAAGAAAAATTAAAGAAGTTTATGAATTTGTTAAATAAATAGCTGGATAAAGTTATGATTTGGAAGAATTACTTACTATTTGGGGTTTAATTTCTTCATAAGTTAACCATTATATTAAAAAATCTTAAATTTGGGGATTTGATGGTATTTTCTAAAATAAAGCAGAAGAATTAATAATAGCAAAAATAAAATCTCATAAGATACTCAAAATTTTAAAAGAAGAATAAACAAATTCACTGAGAAAGGACTTGATATCTTTATGGAGTGCGAATAAATTTAAATAATCCATTAAAAGTGTCAATATAGAAAATTTATTAACTACTCCATTCATGTTGGAAATTGTTGTTTAAGTCTTGCCAAACATGGCCAAAAAATATTCAGGCGCCTAATAAATGAAAGAAATCTTTATAAATAACTATTTAAAGTTGAAAAAATAAGTGATGCTTTCAAAAATTAAGAGAGAATTGTACCAAAAATTAAATTAATAATTATAATCGATTGAAGAAAATGATGAATAATTGCTAATATAAGAAAAAGAGAAAGAATAATAATAGAAAATAGAGTAAGCCAAACTAATTAATATTATTGATTTACTTGATAATGAGAACTTTTTTTAAAAATATTCAATTTTTAGTCAATTAAAACATGATACAACTACTGTTATGATTGATAACATTCATATCAAATTAAGTCTCGATGATATTAAATTTGTGGTAACTGCTTTATAAATGAAAAGATTTACAGTATTTGAATTTTATGAAAGCTTTATTAACTTTTATCATGAAGAATAAATTCAAAAATAAAGGGAATTGGGTAGAATATATAACTATGAAAGTTTTGCATTTGATATTTATGAATACTCCTATTCTTTAGCCATAGATATGACTTTAAGAGAAATATCTTAAATAGACTACAAGCCATTAGGAAAACTTGATTTAAAAAGTAACTACAAAATAGATTAAGTAACTGATGATTGGTTGAAGCAATATTTTGATATTGAGGATGAGTATAAAAAATTAATTAAGAGTTGCATTTTGTTAAGTACTAAAGGAAGTAGTTATTCATTCACACACAAATCAATTCAAGAATTCTTTGTTGCCAAATATATTTTTGATCTTTTAACATCTTTAAAAGGTTTTAGAAGTAATTTCATAGAAGACTAGTAGGAAGATTTTAAGAAAAATGAACAAATTTTAATAAAATCAGTATTTAATCATCCAAAATTTAATATTTCTACTGATAACTTTAGAGGGGCCATAATGTTTACTAAAGAGCAATTAATAAATATAGAAACAATAAATTCATAATTGATTGAATTAGTTAAGCATTCGAGAATTCCAGGTTTTTGCAGAGCTGCATCAAATAGTATTTTTTTATTAGCCTAGATGAATGTTTATTTGGGATCTTAAGATTTAAATAGGATAAATTTGGCATATACGGATATTTCAGGCTTAAGTTTATTTGATAGTGATTTAAGCTATTCAAAATTTAATTATGTTGAAATTAATTCATGCAATCTTAATTATGCTGATTTGACAAATGCAGAGTGGACAAATGTTATTTGTAAAGAGAAGCCATTGTTATAGGGTCATAAAAATGGAGTCTTGGAAGTGTAATTTTCACCAGATGGTTCATTCATTGTATCTATAGAAGAAAATTGTAAGAACATTAAATTATGGGATGCAGAAAAATATCTATTCATCAAAGATTTAGAAGGTCATACAGATAATGTGAATTCGATAACATTTTCATCAGACTCCTCAATGCTGTTATCAGGAAGTGATGATTGCACTATTTTAAGTTGGGATTTTAAGAATCCTTAATAAATTACTAGTTAAATTCAAGTGAAAATAAATAATAAAGTCTCAATAGTTAGGATATCTCAAGATTCAAAAAAATTGTTTACAACAGACATAGCCCTAAATTTCTATATTTTCAATTTACCTATCAACAGTAAAATTGAAGAATGCATTTATCAAATTAGTAGTTGCCTGATTTTAAATTTTGTATTACATCCCACTGAAGCAAAAGTTGTGTTACTTTATGAAAGGAATATTTTTTTGAAAATGTATACATTAGAATTAATAGACAGTGTAAAATCATAATAATCATCATAAAGTTTTGAATATCAGTTAGTCTCAACTTACAGTTAAAGAAATTGTGAATAAAGTTTAGTATTTAGCGATAATGGGCAATATTTTGCCATTTTATCTGAAAATGAATGGATTATTTGGAACTTAAAGGATAATCACATTTAAATTGAGATAAGATTTGATTTCAATAATATAATCAAATTAAGATCCATTTTATTCACCAAAGATGATAATGAATTAATTTTTGCTTCAGAAAAATTTGTGTTTAAGTAGCAAAAAATTTAATATGTAGGGTAAGTATAGAAATGTCTTGAAACTTAAATATCTCCTAAAGGTAATATGGCTGTAATAATTTATGAAAAATAACTAAATTTAATAGATATACATAATGATTTATCAATTGGGTTAAGATAGTTTGATCTTTAACCTAATAAAATACAATTTTCAAAAGATAGCAATAAATTGTCTTTTTGTTAAATGATGAGAAAGAAGTTAAATAATTTATGATTCTGGATGCATACACACTTAAAAATAATTATTTAATACCTTGGGATAGGTATTGGACTAATTTTATTTTATCTCATAATTTTGAAAAACTATTTATTTAATATGACAATAAGTCAAATTAATTTGATTTGCTTTAATAATAAATTTTTAAACATTTTGCTATAATAAATTAACCAGAAATCTACTCAAAATAATCTATGGCAGCTATTTAATTACAAATATTATATATTGACTTTAAATATTTAATTGCTTATAAATTAAGTCTATAGGATCAACTAGAAAAATTAACTCACAAGACTGTATGGTGATGCCAAATTTCTTATTTTCATAGGGGTTATTATAATAAACACAAATAAACTATATAAAGAAACAAAAAAAGAAATTCTTTTCAGCCATGAAAAAGTTTGTTACTACTCGACAACAAGTTGGGTAATTGCTTATACTACACCTAATAATATTTCCATTAGAATATTTGATATATATAACAATTAGGAAATCCAAAATCATCTGAAATATGAAGAAAAAAAAGTTTATGATCCTTTATTTTCACCAAGTGAAAATGAAATAGCTGTCAGTGCCTATATTGGAGTTTAAACAGAGTCATATTTTTAATTAATTTAATTTTCAAATAATTTTTTTAATATCATAAGCACATATGATTTAAAGATAACAATNAAAATAGTTTACAACAGTCAAAGCCCTGAATTTCTAAATTTTCACTTTACATATCAACAGTAGCATGGAAGAATGCATTTATCAAATTCTTAGTAGTCGAATTTAAATTTTTTTATTAAATCCCACAAAAGCAACAGTTGTGTTGCTTGAAGAAAGGAATATTTTTTTGAAAATGTATATAATAGAATTTATAGACATTGTCAAATCATTATAATCATCATAAAGTTTTGAATATTGTTAGTCTCAACTTACAGTAAAAGGAATTTTGAATCAAGTTTAGTATTTAGTGATAATGGGAGATATTTTGGCATTTTATCTGAAAATTAAGCAATATTTTTGAAGTTTAAAGCATAATAACAATTAAATTGAGATGAGATTTAATTTCAATAAAATAAAAGTAAGATTCACCAAAAATGGCAGTGAATTAATTTTTAGTTCAGAAAAATTTGTGTTTAATATTAAAGAAGTTAACATGTAGAGTAGGTATAGAAATGTGTTGAAACTTAAATATCTTCTAAGGGTAAATTGGCTGTAGTAATTTATGAAAAATAACTAAATTTAATAGAAATATATAATGATTTTCAAAGGGGTTAAGATAGTTTGATCTTTAATCTAATAAAATACTATTTTCAAAAGATAGCAATAAATTGTCTTTTTGTTAAATGATGAGAAAGAAGTTAAATAATTTATGATTCTGGATGCATTCACACTTAAAAATAATTATTTAATACCTTGGGATAGGTATTGGACTAATTTTATTTTATCTCATAATTTTGAAAAACTATTTATTTAATATGACAATAAGTCAAATTAATTTGATTTGCTTTAATAATAAATTTTTAAACATTTTGCTATAATAAATTAACCAGAAATCTACTCAAAATAATCTATGGCAGCTATTTAATTACAAATATTATATATTGACTTTAAATATTTAATTGCTTATAAATTAAGTCTATAGGATCAACTAGAAAAATTAACTCACAAGACTGTATGGTGATGCCAAATTTCTTATTTTCATAGGGGTTATTATAATAAACACAAATAAACTATATAAAGAAACAAAAAAAGAAATTCTTTTCAGCCATGAAAAAGTTTGTTACTACTCGACAACAAGTTGGGTAATTGCTTATACTACACCTAATAATATTTCCATTAGAATATTTGATATATATAACAATTAGGAAATCCAAAATCATCTGAAATATGAAGAAAAAAAAGTTTATGATCCTTTATTTTCACCAAGTGAAAATGAAATAGCTGTCAGTGCCTATATTGGAGTTTAAACAGAGTCATATTTTTAATTAATTTAATTTTCAAATAATTTTTTTAATATCATAAGCACATATGATTTAAAGATAACAATTAATAATTGTGCTGAGGAGGGGTTGTGGCTTAAATCAGTTTAAATGATAAAATTGTTTTCAAATACAAATAATAAATAATTAGTATCTAAGTGGATGTAAGATAAGATTAATAATGATAGTCAAATAGGTAGTGAAGCCTAATTTTTTGCAAAACCTGGTTAATTTAATGTATAAAAGTTATTTGCCTAGTTAGATAGACAAACATAATCATTTAAAATAATTAACACCGAGAATTAAATTTTAAAGATTAAATTTGAACTTTTTTACAGTCGTAGACCTCATCTATACTTTGAATTAAGCCTGAATGAAGAAATAATACTCATTCTTTTGGGTAAACAAAAATATTTATATTGGACAAACTTTATGACTAGATGAAAAAAATTATGGATTGGAAGTTTTGCTTAAAACTTTGAGAGTATCGTGTAGGTATTCTTTTTTGTTTTCTGATGATGAGGATTCAATTTTTTAAGTTTGTTATCAACATCTTTGTTTCCTAAAATCTTAATAATTGACTTTTTAGCTTACATAAATTATTTACCTTTCGAATAGTTGTTAGCAATAGGCACATAATAAAATCATTTTATTTTTTGGGATATTAAAGCTAAGAAGCTTTTTGGAGCCCTTAAAGGACATTAAGGTAAAATCAATTTCATCACAGTTTCAATAACCAAAGGTGTTCTTGTATCAATTAGTGAGGATATACTAATAAAGCTCTGGATAATTAATTAGGAATAATCATAAGATATTCTTTAAGTCCATTCAAATAGGATTACTTCAATGACATATTCTCAGGATGGCAAATTGCTTGCGGCTGCCTCTTATAAAGAAAGAGAATTTGAAGTACCAATGTTTCTTTTTGATGTTATGGATAACAATTTGAAGAATAAGTTATAGGGACACAAAGCAACTATTGCAAGTCTACACCTACTGTTCTAAATATTAACGTGTCAGGAGTTGTTGGCGGAAAAATATTATTTTTGTATATTGAGTATCCTGAAGCTGATAAAATTGTGTATGTAATAGATGAATATAAAAGCACCATTCATTCCCTAACTATTTCTCAATAGGAAGTATTTATATTTGAAACCTACATTAATAATTCTTTTTTAAAATGGAATCTTGGGAACATTGAAAAAAAACAAAGAGGAAAAACTATAACTTTCTATAAATTCCGAATAATCTAGTTTTATTTCGAATGATTAGTTTGTGTATTTTGATTTAGAATAACATAAATTAACTTTTCTAAATATCGAATAGTGTTTTGAAGAAAAATTATAAATTTATAAACTTCAAAAGATGGATGCCTAATTTTGTGTTTGCAAAAAAATAAAAATCTGAGGAAGAATGAAGCAAAATATTATGTTATTAAAAAAACCAGGATAACTAATGGTATAAAAAATAGATATTTGCAGCATAAACAGATTATTTGTTACTTTACATTAGCTTCTGCTAGTGATGATAACTCTATCCGTCTATGGGATGTCAAAACAGGATAATAAAAAGCCAAATTAGATGGTCATAGTAATTTAGTTATGTCAGTCTGTTTCTCTCCTGATGGAAATACATTAGCTTCTGGTAGTGGTGATTACTCTATCCGTCTTTGGGATGTCAAAACAGGATAATAAAAAGCCAAATTAGATGGTCATAGTAACTATGTTATGTCAGTCTGTTTCTCTCCTGATGGAAATACATTAGCTTCTGGTAGTGATGATAAGTCTATCCGTCTATGGGATGTCAAAACAGGATAATAAAAAGCCAAATTAGATGGTCAT